GGAGGAGGAGGAGGGGGAGGAGAAGAAGTTTTCACATATTGAGGTATATGGGGAAGCCGTTCTGGTTTAAATCTGATTCTGCCTAAGACTTGTTTTTCCCAGAGCAGGCTTACGGCCCTTGGAACATGCACAGTACATCTGCTGCAAACATTTTCTCAAAGCCAAGAGTGTACTCTAAAAATAGGGGTGAATGTCTCCCTTTCTCTGACACCAATACCAGTATTTCTCTGAAGATAAGCTTTTCTTCACAGAGAGCCAAGGTCAAGTTGACCTGCTGTATATGTGTTAAACAAAACACCTCCTTGTCACTTTGGGGAAAAGAATCGTATTCCTGTCATGCTTGATGTACGTTCTTTGTTCTGAAACAGTCCGTGACCGTGCCATAAACTACGCTTCCCCAGAGTGCTTTCTTCCCTGGGGAAGATAACACTTCTGGGCTAGTCCTCAGCATTAGCTCATTAAATATCCTTCTTATCTATAGATTAGTTACTATTTGCATTGACATCGGTAAAAATATATTAAACATACTTAATTTCATACAGGGGAAATATAACTATGCGTTAAATTTTGAAAAGTGAAATTTCTGGGTCAGAGGGTATGAGAATGTTATGTCTTGATAGCTACTGTCAAAAGGATCTCTGTAGAAGGTGCACCAATATACCCCTTTTCCCAGACTTTCAGGACAGAGCCCATTTCTCCACACTCTTCCAACAGTATATCTTTCTCCCCCAAATTGAAATTGACTTTCCTTGATGAGCATGTCACTGTACACATGTGGACCTGTATTAGTCAGAGGCTCTCCAGAGAAACAGAACAAATAGGATATACAGAGATCTGTATAACAAGATTTTTATTATGGGAATTGACTTACATGGTCATGGAAGCTGAGAAGACCCACAATCTGCTGTCTGCAGGCTGGAGAACCAGGAAGCTGGTGATATAATTCAGTCCAAGTCTGAAGGCCTGACAACCAGGAGCTCCAATGCCCAAGGGCAAGAAAAGGAGGTCGCTCCAGCTCAAGAGAGAATTCAACCTTCCTTCACCTTTTTGCTCTATTCGGGGCCCCAATGGATTGAATGACGCCCACCCACAGTGGTTGAGGGCAGTCTACTGATTCAAATGATAATCTCTTCAGGAAACACACTCACAGACACAACAGAAATACTGTTTTACCAGCTATGTAGCTGGCCATCCCCAAGCCCAATCACGTTGACATCTAAAATTAACCCTCCCAAGGCCTACTTCTGGATTTTATGTTTGATTATATTGATCTGACGGTATATTCATTTGCCAAACTATACAGTGTTAATATTAATGTTTATAGCAACTTTTAATGTCTGATAGGCTAGCCCACCTATTACTCTTGTTTTCAAAAATTTCCTTGCTATTCAAGCTTGTTTATTTTACATATAATCTTTTAACCAGCTTGAAAAATTCCGTAAGTTAAATTGTTATTTTTATTGGGGTGACATTACAATTACCTTAGCATATGGAGAACTGACATATTTACAACATTGAGTTTTTCTGCCCAAGGACACAGCATGCCTTTCCATTTGCTTCTTTTATTTCTATCATTAGCCTTTTAAATTTTTCTTATTTGTTTCCAAGTCTTTTATTTTGGTTTGGGAGATTTTGTTGTTGTTTTATTCGTGTTTTGGTTTTGCTATTTTATTTTATTTATTTATTTATTGTGAGGAAGATCAGCCCTGTGCTAACATCTGCCAATCCTCCTCTTTTCTTGCTGAGGAAGACTGGCCCTGGGCCAACATCCATACCCATCTTGCTCCACTTTATTATATAGGACACCACCACAGCACGGCTTGCCAAGTGGTGCGTCGGTGCGCTCCCGGGATCTGGATCGGCGAACCCTGGGTCGCCGCAGCAGAGCACGCGCACTCAACTGCTTGCGCTACCAGGCGGGCACCCTGGTTTTGCTATTTTAAATGAGGCATTTATTCCATTGTATCTTATTCCACTTTTTTCAGCTTGAGGCTTGGTAGCTATACATTTTTTAAATTAATGTTTTAGTAGTTATCTAGTGGTTACAATATGCATCATTGATTCATCAAAGCTTAATATTACTTGGTATTTTCCCTCTTCCTGAACAACGGAGTTAGATCTCTTTACATTCCACCCTATTTACATGCTACTGTTTTTATTTATTATAATTCCATACACATTTTAAACCAAATTATTATTTTATGCAGTTCATATTTATTTAGATTTATACTTCATTTTTCCTAAATTTTTCCAGTGTATAGAGCTTCCAACTGGGATAATTTTCTTTCTGCCTAAAAAACACCCTTTAGAGCAAGTCTGCTGTTGATATATTCTCTCAGTTTTTGTTTTTCTGAAAATGTCTTTATTTCAGCTTCACTCTTGAGTGATATTTTGCTGAGTTAGAATCCTAGATTGGAAATTATTTTCTTTCAGCAGATTAAAGATAAAGCTTCAGGGGCCGCCCAGTGGCTTAGTGGTTAGGTGCACATGCTCTGCTACTGGTGGCCCGGGTTCGGATCCGAGGCGCCCACCAAGGCACTGCTTACCTGGCTATGCTGACGCGGTGTCCCACATACAGCAACTAGAGGGATGTGCAACTATGACGTACAACTATCTACTGGGGCTTTGGGGAGAAAAGAGGGAAAAAAAGGAGGATTGGCAATAGATGTTAGCTCAGGGCTGATCTTCCTCACAAAAAAAAAAAGATAAAGCTTCATTGTCTCTGGCTTTTAATTTTTCTGTTGCAAAGTCATCTGTAAGTCTAATTGGTGCCTCCTTCAAAGGTAATCTGTTTGTTCACCATCGATCTTAAGGTTTTCTCTTTGATTCTAGTTGTTAGCAGTTTTACTATGCTCTGTCCTTGACCAAATTTTCTTTTATTTATCTGGCTTAGAATTTGTAGGGCTTCTTACCTTTATTTATCTTATATTTAGATTTGGGAGAATCCAGACACCAGGCTTCCTGGAACAACCACAGGTCAGCCCTTCCTGAGCACCTGAAGAGCAAGCTTTCACCTCTTCAAACTCTCATGTTTCCTTGAGCAGCAATGCCAACAGGTCTGCCGTAGCAGGGCCACGTGGAGGCTCCGGCACAAAATCCACCAGCACCTCTGCCATAACCAGGCCGGGCAGAGCAACACCCAGGGCATCTGCGAGTAAGTGGATTGTCTCACACCTACAAACTCCCTCCTCCCTCCGTGTTCCCTCTCGACTCCCAGATCCCCACCCAACACCGTTCTTGCGGGACCTGAGCGGTCCGCCTCAGAGGTGGACTTTACAAGGAAAGGTACAGATTGGCTGCCTGACTAAATTCTGGTCAAGCAAAGAATCTTATTAGAGCACAGGATGGCCACGTGCACCCTAAAGACCTGCCGCGCGCTCGAGGCTCCGGGCTCAGCCAGGGCTGCCCGGTGGTCATGCTGGCTCCCCACCCGGGCCAGTCTTTCGCCAACGCCAGGGTCTCGATCAATGAAAAACACCAGACTGCAGCTGCGAGCTCCAGGCTTCTTGAGAGACGTGCGCAGGACCCAGAACAGCCAATCCCCGCCGGGTGGGGCGGGACCTCATGCAGGGGCGGGGAAAGCCGCGCCCCGCCCGGGTGAGCTCCACCGGTGACCGACAGGCACACTTCCTCCCTACGCTCCGCCCTTCAACCCCTGCAGACCGTCCATTGTCTGGACCGCTTTGGTCGCGGCGCTGATTGGCGGCCTGTGCTTGACAGGGCGTTACAAGCCAAGCCGAGGGCGGGAAGCGCGCAGGGCCTCGGAGAAGGCGCCCGGCCAGGGTGGGCAGCGCGGGAGGAGAGCCGGGGAGGCTGACAGGAACCCCGGGGCGTTTACCATGCCGTGCAAACCCTCATAAACCCTCAGCCCGAGACCTTGCAATTTCAGCTTGGAAGACCCCAGATCCCCTCACTCTGAGAGGCTCCAAATCCCCTCGGCCTTGAGGGACTCCAAATCCGCTAACTTGGAGGGACCTCAAAGCCTCTGGACCTGAGAAACCCCAATTCCCTCAGCCTGAGGGACAACAAGTCTCCTCAGCGTGAGACCCAAGGCACCTCAGCTTCAGGGACCTCACATCCTTTCACCCAGAGAAACCCCAAATCCCTAATGCTTAGACTTTCTGAATACCCTGAGTAACCCCAAACCCCTCAGCCTGAGAAACCCTAAATATAGCCCCATAGAGAGACCGAATTTCCCCAGCCTCAGAGCTAGCTCTTAATCCCTTCAGCTTCAAAGACCCCAACTAACCTCAGTGTGAGAGAACCTAAAGAACCCTTAAGGAGAGACACCAATCTCCTTAGCCTGAAAGACCCCAAATCTCCTCAGCCTCAAAGATCCCAAATCCTCTCAACCTGAGCATTCTAAATGTCTTCAGCCTGAAAGACCCCAGATCTTGTCCTGAAAGACCATAAATACCATCAGCTTGAGGGACTCCCAGATCTCTTCAGCCTGCGACCCCACATCCCCTCGACCTGAGAACCCCCAATTCACTCAGCCTGAGGGACCCCAAATCTCCTCAGCCTGAGGTCTCTGCCCCTTAGATCGAGGCGGCCTTATGCCCGGGTTTTTCCAGAATCCCTGGTGGACATCCCCAAAGACCCTCTATGAGAAATATTCCTCTCCGGATGGTCAGCTTGGGCCCCGTCCCAGCAGTCGGGCCTCCAGGTGGCCTCAGGACTCCCCTCAGACACCCGCCGCCGCTTCCTCCAGGCGCCTTGTACGCCTCTCCTCAGAGGGAGCCGCAGGGGACTGAAGAAACAACATCCAGCTCCATCTGGCTGGTCCCCTCGATACCCGCAGAGCCCCCCGCATCCTCTGATCCTCGTGGGGTCCCTGCATCTTCCCGCTCTGGACACCCTGCCGGAAGAGGGAAGCCCCGGAGTCCGGGCTGTCGCCCCTCTCAGCACCTTCTCCTTCCACAGGAGCCTGGGCCTTGGCGCCGGGAGACGCAGAATCGGAGGGAGGCCCGGATGGCGGTCCCGGCACCATGAGCTCTGCCGGGTCCCCAGAGGAGAGCCCCGAGGGGGACGCGGGGAGATCAGGGCGGAGGCCCCCGGTGAGGGGGGAGGGTGTGTGGACGGGACGGGAGGGAAGACAAGCCGGAGGCTCCCGGTGGGGGAGGGGAGTCTGTGGACCGGACGCGGAGGGGCGTGGTGACTGGACTGGCCCCCGGAGGCCCCCGCTCTGGCCTGCGCGGCGGGCGGCCCCCCCGGGAGTGTGCAGACCTGTGGCCCGGTCCCGTCCGGACTGGGGGAGGACAGGACGCCAGCGGCGGCCGCTGCTGCGCGTCGGGCAGAGCCGGGAGACCGCTCAGCGCTGGCTCGGCTGCTCGGACACGGTCTCGAGGAGAGAAAGATTTCACCCCGGTCCCCGGGGCCGCCCGGAGGCCTCGGGCTGCGTGTGCACAGGGCAGGGGACGCCCAGCTCGAGGTCTGACGGGTGTCAGCAAGTCAATGAGGGGATCTGTCATTCTCTCGAGGCCGAAGATGCTTTCAAAGACATTTCCACGTATTTCTCCAAGGACGAGTGGACGGGGATGGGAGACTGGGAGAAACGCCGGCACAGGAACGTGAAGAGGAACTACGAGGCGCTGATCGCCATAGGTACGGGAGGCGCGGGGCGGGCCTGCAGCCTGTGTCCGTGCGGCCCTCTCGGGGCTCCGTCGGCCCGCAGCGCCTCCGCGCGGAGACGCGTCTGCGGGGGTTTCTTCTGCGGCAGCGCGGGCCGCGCCAGCACTGCGGAGCTCGCGTCTGCCTCGTTCCGGGCTCTCGCGGCCCGTCCAGCCGAGTCTCACCGGCCTTGTGGGCCGTGTCCCTCCTTCCAGCTCCGCCCTGCTGCGACAAAGCACTTGCTTCTTTCCAGGTCTCAGGGCCCCTCGACCAGCTTTCATGTGTCACCGCAGGCAGGCCGTCAAACGCCGGGAGGATGACGCTGAGGATTCTGACGAAGAATGGACGCCAAGGCAGCAAGGTGAGGGCCAGGAGGATTCAGAGGTGTCCTTCTGGAGCACACCTCGGTGTAGGTCTCAGCTGCATCTCAGCAGTCGACAAAGGAAACTGTGTTTCCTCAAAAACATAAATGTTCAGCAAGCAAGCAAGATGAAAAACAGCATATTGTACAGTAAGAGGCTATTCATATGAAGTTTTATTTATTTTTTATTTTTTAAAAAATAATTTTATTTATTTATTTTTCCCCCAAAGCCCCAGTGGATAGTTGTATGTCATAGCTGCACATCCTTCTAGTTGCTGTACGTGGGACGCGGCCTCAGCATGGCCGCAGAACTGGCGCGTCAGTGCGCCCCCAGGATCCGAACCCAGGGCCGCCAGCAGCAGAGCTTGCGCACTTAACTGCTAAGCCACAGGGCCCGCCCATATAAAGTTTTAAAATGTGTAAAATAATTATATATTATTTATAGATACATTAATAAGCAGTAAATATATAACAATCTGAATATGAATAAGAAATAGCAAATTCAGAAGAGTTATTATCACAAGAAAGGGAGGAAGGGCTGGCAGGTGGCTTTGCTGTGTCTTCGTTAGTTTTTCATTTATTTGTTTTTATCTTTATTTTTTAATTTTGACATAGAACTAAAAATATCTGAAACCGTTGTGGCAGAATGTTGAGATAAGGGTGACTTATCTCAAGGATGTACCTGTACATCTCAAGGATGTACAGGTTTTCCAGTATAATTCTCCATACTTTTCTATATGTTTAAAATTTATCAGCTTTTTAAAAAGATTATTTTTGCTAAACATTGTTAATTAATGAAAGGGCAATTGAAGAAACCTCAATTAAACTGTAAATCCACCAAAGAGCTTTCTAACACTAATCTCAGTTATTGGATTAAATGTCTTAGAAGAGGAAATGATTAACATATTATGTAAAGATACATGATTTATCTATGTATATTTAATCACACCACGTGATCTTCTTACCCGGAATGGACCTGATTCTTGGAGTTGATTCTGTGGGAGGGTTTGAGAGAATTAGGTAGTCTCCCTGATCTTTCCCACGTGTCACTGACCAGAGACAGCATCAGCTGAATAAAATGAAGTACAATCATTCTAAGACAGAAGTGAGAAACTCACTTCCTCTTCTGCTGCTCAGACAGGAGAGTTTAGAAGAGTCAATCTGACTAAAATGAGAAAGCAACTTGGATTAGGTCTCTGATTCCCAGTCTATGGATTTTTGATTCCTTAGGCTCCTAAAAGTAGTGGAAGAGATCTGAAAACCCAAATGAGGTTGTCCACAAAGGTTTTGACATGAAAAGAGGATTCATAGGGAACTTGTACCTCGTGATTTACCATACATCTACACATCTTTATCTGGGCTCAGCTAAATCCCCCAACCCAGTCAATTTTTTTTTATTGTGGTTAAAAAAACACACGTAACAACAGCCAAAAAAAAAAAAGACACATAACATAAATTTACAGTCTTAACAATTTTTAAGTGTACAGTACAATATAGTTAACTATATGCACATTTTTGTACAACATATCTCTAGGACTTTTTCATCTTGCAAGACTGAAATTCTATAGCCATTGAACAACAACTCCCATTTCTTCCTCCCCCAGCCCCTGGCAGCAACCATTCTATTTTCTGTTTGTATGAATTTGATTACTTTAGATACCTCACATATAAGTGGAATCATGCAGTGTTTATCTTTTTGTGATTGGTTTATTTCACTTAGCATAATGTCCATCCATGATGTAGCAAATGACAGGATTTTGTTCGTTTTTAAGGCTGAATAATTTTCCATTGTATGTATATACTACATTTTCTTTATCCATTTATCTGTCAATGGACATTTAGGTTGCTTCCACATCTTGGCTATTGTGAATAATGCTGTGATAACCATTGATGTGCAAATATTTATTCAAGATCTTGTTTTCAATGTTTTTGGATACATACCCAGAAGTTGGATTGCTAGATAATATGGCAGTTATATTTTGAATTTTTTGAGGAACCTCCGTACTGTTTTCCACTGTGGCTGTAACATTTTACATTCCCACCAACAGTATGAAAGAGTTCCAATTTCTCTACATCCTTGCCAACACTTGTTATTGTCTGTTTTTTTGATAGTGGCCATCCTAATGCATACAAGATATTAGCTCATTGCGGTTTTAATTTACATTTCCCTGATGATTAGTGATATTAAGCATCTTTCCATATGCTTGTTGGCCATTTGTGTATCTTCTTTGGAGAAATATCTATTCAAGTCCTTTTCCGATAGTATTAGTTAGCTCTGGCTGCCATTACAAAAAATACCATAGGGGCTGGCCCCAAGGTGTAGCGGTTGAGTGTGCATGCTCCTCTGCAGTGGCCTGGGTTCAGATCCCAGGCACGCACCGATGCACTGCTTGTCAGGCTGTGCTGTGGCGGCGTCCCATATAAAGTGGAGGAAGATGGGCACGGATGTTAGCCCAGGGTTGGTCTTCCTCAAAAAAAGAGGAGGCGTGGAATGGCTATTAGCTCAGGGCTGATCTTCCTCGCCGCCCCCCACCCCCCCAAAAAACCCATAGACTGGGTGGCTTAAACCACAGAATTTGTTTGCTCGCGGTTCTGGAAGCTGGAAGTCCGAGATCAGGGTGCTAATGTGGTCAAGTTCTCTTCCTGGCTTTGTAGGCAGATGCCATCTTGCTGTGAGCTCTCATGACCTCTTCTTTGTATGTGCATGCTCTAGAGAGAGAGAAGGAGAGAGATCTCTCTCTTCTTCTTAACAAAACCAATCTCACCATGAAGGCCTCACTCTCATGACCTCATCTAACCCTAATTGCCTCCCAAAGGCCCCATCTCCAAATACCATCATATCAGGGGTTAGGATTTCAACATATAAATTTGGGGGGGCATAATTCAATCCATAGCACCCAACTTTTAATTGAGTTATTTGGTTTTTTATTATTGAGTTGTAGGAGTTCTTTATATATTCTAAATATTAACCGCTTATCAGATATATGTTTTACAAACATTTTCTCCCATTCTGTAGGTTGCCTTTTCCTCTGTTGATTGTGTCCTTTGATGCACAGAAGTTTTTAAGTTTAATGTAGTCCATTTGTCTATCTTTGCTTTTGTAGTTTATGCTTTTGGTGTCATATTCAAGAAATCATTGCCCATTCCAATGTCATAAAGATGTTCTCTTTGTTTTCTTCTGAGAGTTTTATGGTTTGAGGTTTTACATTTAGGTCTTTAATCCATTTTGAGTTGATTTTCGTATATGGTGTAAGATAGGGTCCATCTTCATTCTTTTGCATGTGGATATTCTATTTTTCCAGCACCATTTGTTGAAGAGATCATTCTTTCTCCATTGCGTAGTCTTGGCACCCTTGATGAGGATCATTTGACCATATACCCAAAAGTTCCTTTCTGGGCTCTCTATTCTGTTCTATTGGTTTATATATCTGTCTTTATGCCAATACCATACTATTTGATTACTGTAGTTTTGTAATATGTTTTGAAATCACCAAATGTGAAGCTTCCAGCTTTGTTCTTTCTCAAGAATATTTTGGCTATTTGAGGTCCTGTGAGATTCCATATTAAGTTTTGAATGGCTTTTTCTGTTTCACAAAAAATGCCACTGGTATTTTTATAGGGATTGCATTGAATATTTAGATTGCTTTGAGTAGTATGGACATCTTAAAAAGACTAAATCTCCAAATCCGTGAACACAGGATGTCTTTCCATTTACTGTGTCTTCCTTAATTTCTTTCAAGAATGTTGTGCAGTTTTCAGTGTACAAGTCTTTCACCTCCTTGATAAATTTTACTCCTAATTATTTCATTGTTTTTGATGCTATTATAAATGAGATTGTTTTCTTAATTTCCTTTTTGGATTGTTCTTATTAGTGCATAGAAATGCAACATATTTTTGACTGTTGATGTTGTACCCTGCAACTTTGCTGAATTTGTTTATTAGTTCCAACAGAGTTTTTTTTCTGGAATCCTTAGAATTTTCTACGTATAAGATCATGTCACCTGTGAACAGTCATAATTTTACTTCTTTCTTTCCAAATTGGATGCTTTTCGTTTCCTTTTCTTGTCTAATGCTCTGGCTAGGACTTCCAGTACTATACTGAATAGAAGTGGTGAGAGTGGGCATCCTTGCTGTGTTCTTGGTCTTAGAGGAAAAGCCTTCAGTTTTTCACTGTTGAGTATGATGTTAGAGGTGGACTTTTCATATATGACCTTTATTATACCAGGCAATTTTCTTCTATTCCTAGTTTGTTGAGGACTTTTTGTCCATAAAGCCAAATTTGTTGTTTAAAAATAAATATAATAGATACATAATAAACATAGAATGAAGCATAGATGAGGTTTTGTCTATTTTTTCAACATTTTAAGAAAATTACTTGATGCCCCCAGTAGAAGAATAGGCCTTGATGATACTGCAGAAACCATCTTCCAATCATCATTAGATAATCCTTGTACTTATTACTCTCTGGTTCAGGATTCTGTATCCCTAATGAAAATCTCTAGAATTTGGAAATGTTTACCAACCAAAACACTGATTTCTCACTACCTTTTAGTCAAACCTTCTTGGGTGGCCTTCAGAGTGGAACAGAGTAAACAACAGAAGGTGAGTATTTCCCAAATCCAGTTGATGAGAAAATCATCCTTATGGATCCAAACACAGGTAAGAGTAGGAGAATGTACTGAGTACCCCGGGAACTGCTGCCTTCCTTTCCTGATCTCTTTAGCTCAATGTCCAATATCATCGTCATTTTAATAGTTAATGAGAACAGCAACCATAGGAGCTACCACTTGTTATTTTCACAATATTTCAGACTTTATTTTAAACATTTTATGTGAATAAACTCACTTAAACCTTACAACAACTCTATAAGGTAGGTACTATAACTATCACCATTTATAGATGAGGAAACAGGTTCAGAAATGTTTGGATATGTGCCTGAGATGACAGTATCAGTGGTACCTAATTCAAAGCTCCACCTCTAAACAACTTACAAGCTCATACACTGCCTTTTTCATACATCTTTACATCATTCACCTGACTGATGATTTCAACCTCAGTTCTTTTCTGCTATGCTAAAGTGAGAGATGTGCTAAGACCCTCTGACTAAAGGAAGCTTACAAATATATGGGCAATTTGTACAGGGGGTGGTCCCAGATGAAGAAGGAGATAGGATTTCCACTCTCAGAGCCTCCCACTCTAATAAAAAGAAGCATCTCCCAACCCTGAGGAGCTTCAGATTTGATGACTGAGAAACAACAAATAAGAAAATGACTTAAGGAGTTCACTATTCAATAGAAACTCACCCATCTGGAACTGATTTCAAATGCTCTTCTTGTAGGAGGAAGTAACAGTTCATCTGAGCTCTAATTAGGCAACTCGCATAGTTTTTGGAATCATTTGTTTACCCTGCCTCTGCATTGAGAGCTCTTCTCAGAAGTCCCAGGCCCAGCTCAGGGCCTCTAAGGGCCCCCTGAATGTTTTCTGGATGAGTGTTTCCACATTTACAAATTAAACTAGAAGTAAGAGGGTCAAGGAATGCTGCAGATAATATCTGTGAATTTGACTTCAAATATGGAGACAGTTGAGGGGGTCAATTGATAGCTGGATGGTAATCTCACGTTTATACTGTATTAAATAGCTCACAAAACATTTTGGTGAACATTCCAGTCATGTGTCACTTAAAGACGGGATACGTTCTGAGAAATGTGTCGTCAGGCGATTTTGTCATTGTGCGAATATCATTGAGTGTCCTAGATGGTATAGCCTACCTAGGATATGTGATACTAATCTTATGGGACCACCACCATCATATATGTGGTCCATCATTGACGGAAACATTGTTATGAGGCGTGTGAATATATTATATTTCATGTTCACTGTAACATTAAGAATTAGCATGTATGCCAATTTATAGATCAGGAAACTGAAGAGAATTAGCTAATGGTACAACCTTATTCAAACAGAATTGACAGGAACCACCTAATCTAATTCCAAATATTCTTTCCAAGATATGGCAATTTGAAATTTTTAGCATCATTTTCCTTATTGTCTAGATATGTTTCTGCCAAGCACTTTTTTGTTCTCTTCCCAATCTCACTGCTCTGTCACCTCATTTTCCAGATAAGTTTTGTATCCTCTATACTCTTCTACATTTCCTCTTGCATCAAATGTCTACTGGTTCAGAGAAAGCCTCCTCTTTTTCTCTAGAAACCTCACTCTCTTCTTTCACAGACCTTGTCAGTTCTCCTGCTGTTCTTCCCAAGGATTGTCCCTCCCTCACTCTCACTTTTATGGAGAAATTTGAGAGAAAGGTGAAGGGAAGGAGCATTAAGACATGGGTTCTAATCTTGGATTCACTACCCACTTAGCCCCTTTCTTTTCCCTCTATTATTCAGACTCCCAGGTATTTCCAAGGGTAGTTGAAGTATTAACTAAAGTCATGCATGTGAAAACACATCATAAGCCCTAAAGAACTAAAAAAGTATATGTTGTCTTTTAATATGTGACTCTCACATTGAAGGGAATGCCCAGGGTGCCATTAAGTAACGAATCTAGTTTGAAGGAATTGTCAGAAACAGCAAAATTGCAGAAGACAAGTGACTCTGAACAGGTCCAGAAACCAGTGTCTCCTCCCAGAGAAGCAAGTACTTCTGGACAGCTCTCCAGACGAAAATTGGGTAAGAGAAAATACTTTAGAGACTTGAGTCCCTCTAAGTCCTCTAGAAAGGTTGATAAATACAGCCTAGATATGCGGAGCGGACTTTAGATAGGCCTGGGTTTAAGCTGGACTAAGCTGAGACCTGAAGTTAGCATCGGAGCCTTGGGCAAATCTCATAAATTCTCTGAGCTCCTGAATGCTAATCTGTAAAGTGAAGATAAAGATACATAATTCATATATTGTTTGAAAGCATTAAATTAAATATAAAAGAATGGACACGTGAAGGTTGTCCAATAAATCCATCTCTGATCATAGAGATTATACTTTCTTAGTGTTGTATGCCCAGGCCTTTGCTCAATGCCTAACACATAATATGCCCTCAACAAATATTTTCTGAATGAACAAATACGTGAATGAACCATTCTCTAAGTAGAAAGGTTGGGAAGTTAAACCTGATAACGGGAAGAGCCAGAAACAAATTGAATCAGGCATCTGTAATCAGTGTGGAGTCTTAGTGTCTCTGAACCAATAGTTAAGGGGGGAAAGAGAAGAGTATTTAGGGGGCTGACCTGGTGGTGTAGTGGTTAAGTTCGTGCACTCTGCTTCGGCAACCGTGGGTTTGTGGGTTCAGATCCCAGGTGTGGACCTATGCACCGCTCATCAAACCATGCTGTGGTGGCAGCCCACATACAAAACAGAGGAAGATTGGCTCAAATGTTAGCTCGGGGACAATCTTCCTCACCAAACAAACAAACAAACAAACAAGTATTTAGAAGGACAGGTGATAATTTGATGGGAGGAGATTTCACGTTTTCTGATAAAACAGGGACTAACACTCCAGACCCCATCAACCTCGCTCACCTACTCTTCTCCAACTTAGAACTCAGGAGAAAGGAGGTTGAAGTGAAGATGTACAGCCTACGAGAAAGAAAGGGCCATGCATACCAAGAGGTCAGCGAACCACAGGATGATGACTACCTCTGTAAGTGACCCTCTGGGCCGACTCACAAAGAAGGCTGTTATGTCTTGGTTCAATAATTTCCTCTCATCATTTGGTCCCCAGATCATTCCCTTCCTTTAATGGTTTGGAATACAAGATCGAGGCTAAATGATGTGAGTGCTGGGCTCTTTCTGAAGTTCTTTATGTCCAGGAACACGCACAATACTTGCCCTAATCCCTGTTGCTCTTACCTCCAGATTGTGAGAAATGTCAGAATTTCTTCATTGACAGCTGTGCTGCCCATGGGCCCCCTACATTTGTAAAGGACAGTGCAGTGGACAAGGGACATCCCAACCGTTCAGCCCTCACTCTGCCTCCTGGGCTAAGAATCAGACCATCGGGTATCCCTGAGGCTGGGCTTGGAGTATGGAATGAGGCATCTGATCTGCCATTGGGTCTGCACTTTGGACCCTACGAGGGCCAGATCACAGAAGATGAAGAGGCAGCCAACAGCGGATACTCCTGGCTGGTGAGAAGCACCTACCTCTTTCCCTGTCCTCTGGCTTCCCGCATCCCTTCTGTAGATTGGTGGGACCTCACCTTCTGCATGCTGGGCCATGGATGGAGATAGCATGGTTAGCTCTGTATACTAAGTGGACTTTGCATGAACATGGAACTCCTATTTAAAGATCAGAGGGTAAGTGGAAGCACAGTGATACAGACACAAAGAAGTGGCTCCTCCCTCACAGGGCCCCTGCCCTGAGTGGACAAATCAACTCAGATGTGTAGATGATGACCAAGGAGCATATCACGTGGTCACATTTGGCGGTTGAATCCATGAAGGCTGAAATAGTATTAAAGACAGTAAAGTAAAATAATTCTTCTATTACCTCCCCACCAAAAAAGGGCTTTAACTTCTTTTTCTGAACTCCAGATAACCAAAGGAAGAAACTGCTATGAGTATGTGGATGGAAAGGATAAATCTTGGGCCAACTGGATGAGGTGAGGCCAGTAGGTTTGCGGGTTCCATAGGGGACATTCTCTCTACAGCCTTAAAAAGGAAGATATTCCTTCCTTCTCATCACGCCTCCCTCTATGGCTTTTACATCCTCTGTTCCTCTTTTTTCTTCATACAGTGCTCTTTCATTTCAAGAAATATTTAGGAAAAAAACCGAGATAAAAATATAGGATTCGTCCTCAAAATATAAATCATTATGCTAGACAAAATTTGGAGACTAGAAAAATCCTTCAGGAGCCTGAATTCACACTTTAATTTATCTAATTAACATTCATGAAGCACTGACTATGCTCCAGTTTAGATGACAGAGTTCATCACTTAAACAGATCACAGAAGCCATGTCCTTACGGAGGACTTACTGCAGACAGACATTAAACAATTGATTTTAGGAGTATTTAACTATAATTTCCCTATTTTCTGAGAAGTACACAGTGCCAGGATAACCTAAAATAAGGAAACTTTAATCTATGAGGGCAACAAGCCTTCCTTCCTGGGTTCTAATTAGACCTGGGTTCTGAAGCCTGCATAGGAATGAGCTGCAGTATGGTCCTGGGCCTCTGCTTCATTACCCAGCCCCTTTCCGTGAGGGGCTCTCATTTTACCAGGTGATACAGAATGTGAATAAACTATTATTGTTCTGTGTTATTGTGCTAAGACAAAGAGACCTCCTACTTTCTACGGGAACTTGGGGGAGGCAAGTAATGGTACCTTAGATAAAGTGTGGGGAGATTAGAGAAGGCCCTCAAAATAAGATAGACTTGGGCTGAGTATTGAATGATGTGCACTAGTCTAGAAGCAGAGGCCATGATCCAACACTGGGTTCTGTGGTATAAAACAGAACCGAATTTAGAGTTTAGAGAAGCTACGGGTCACTGGGTTTTAGGGCCAACCAAGGAGGAGGTAAGTCTGGAATTGGGCTTTGGAAAATGGTTAATTAGGCAAGGGGGGAGAAGCATTCTAGGCAGGATGAGCATGCAAGCAGGACTAGGGGATAGGAATTCACATGACATTGTGCAAGAGACTTAGGTATGAACAGAAGTTTCCACGAGGAGTGGTGGGGGGAGTGGGCAGCGTCAGAGCAGGGAGGCCATAAACATCAGGTGAGGAGCTGGACATGGATCGACAGGTAGTGGGAACTTATCACCTGTGGTTTTCTTTCCCTTTGCCCACCTCAATCCCAGGTACGTGAACTGTGCCCGGGATGATGAGGAACAGAACCTGGTGGCCTTTCAATATCACAGGCAGATCTTCTACCGAACCTGCCGGGTTGTCAGGCCAGGCTGTGAACTGCTGGTCTGGTACGGGGACGAGTACGGCCAGGAGCTGGGCATCAAGTGGGGCAGCAAGTGGAAGAGAGAGCTCACGGCAGGCAGAGGTGGGCACCACTGCTCTTCTTCAAAACAGAACGAAAAGAAAGGATTCTCCTTGGGAATTATCATGGTCCAACTCTTAAGTCGAGTAACATCCAGTCTAAAGTCAGTAAACTTTCAATTCAGATGCTTCAGGAATTAATGATTCATTTAATATGCCTTTGACTTGTCGATGCAAATTACCAATAACCGTTCTATAGATACAAGAGATAAGGTGAGTTTTACTTGAGCCAAGCTGAGGATTATAACCCTTAGGGAGGCAGTCTCCACAAAGCAAGAAACTTTCCAGAGAAGCATAGTTTTCAGTATAGTTTTATACCTTTTCAGAACAAAGAACATACATCAAACATGCCCAGGATACATAGTCATCAAAGTTTCAAAGAGGTATTCAGTTGTAAGTTAGCAGGTCAACATGACCCTGATGTCAGGGAAAGGAAACTTATCTTGAAGAGTCTTAGGAAGGAAAATATGCATTCTTATCTTCAAAGAGTCCATTCTTTTACTTTGAGATAATTTTTAATGCATTCTTTAATGGTTAAAGCAAATGTACAATATATTTTGATAGGCCATAAGTCAGGCTTCTTTAGTTCAAGCCAAATTAATTTTAAACAAGAATAGCTACCCCTATACCTCAATATGTGAAAATTTCTTGTCAAACTCTCAAGAAAATTTTTGTATTTTTTATTTTTGTTCACACACATATAGTGATGAAAGGCTTAGAGGCAAAAAAACAAGTTTTCAAGCACCAGCCAGCTCTCTCACCAAGGCAGTTTCCTCTGGCTCTTTTAGCTGCTGCTTCTAATTTCCTCCATGTTCCTAACTAATATGTGTATGATGTTGATATGTGTTCATTCATTATTTCAGTTAGTTTCACGTGAGCTCATACTTTGTGCCAGACAGGGTTCCAGAAACTGGAAATACAGATTGAACAAGATGATCAGAATTACTGCTCTTGAGCAGCTGACCGTACATATGCATGCATGTGCATAATATCAGACAGTGATTAGTGCTTTGAAGAAAACTAATCCAGGAAAAGTGCTTAGGGATCAATACCAGGGGAGGGTGGGGTATGGCAGAGGATGGTCAGGGCAGGACTCTCTCAGGAGATAACGTTTCAGACGTGCAACTATTTATGGGCAAAGGATTCCAGGCAGAGGGAGCAGCTAGTGCAACAGCCCCAGGGCAGGAAAGAGGTGGGGTGTTTGAGGACTGGCTGAGAGACCACTCAGGTGGTAATAGAAGGAAGCACAGAGGGTAAGAAAGGAGGTTGGATCAATAAGTAGAAGCCTTAAGGCCCATGATCCATGCTGAGACACTGGGGATTTTCCTAGGTGAGATGGAACAGTTGTGCAGTTTTCAGCTGGAGGTGGCATGTTCTCTGTTCTAAGATGACGCTTTGGTTAATTTTTGGAAGGTGGACTGCAGTGGGAATCCCCTCAGAGATTACTTCATCTCCAAGTGAGAGAGGATGGTGGATTGGCTGCAGATGCATGGGAGGTAGGGGTGCAAGAAGTCTGGTTGGGGATATGTTTTGAAACAGGACTTTCTATTCAAGACTAAGACTGAATGAAATAAATCAAGTATGAATACTTCGTGTGAGGCTTGAGGAGGGATGTACTTTCATTTTATGATTTGTGGGAAAGTGAGAGAGAAGCAATTCATGACCTAGTCATGGCAGCAGGTCCAGCAGGTCCACACCAGAGTCCTTCAGTCAGTGGGACCTGGACCACTCTGTCTTGTCCAATCTGAATCCCACTTCCTGATGGAGATCCAGACACAGAGGGGTCCTTAATCAAATATGTCTTTTTGAATGGAGAGACTCAAAGTCAGCTTTACTCACACACGCTCTCTCTAACCACTACTCTATCCTGCTTTCCACATTTGTAGGTCTCCAGGCAGAGTGGCTCCTAACTTAATAGATCCCTTTCCCTTCATAGGAAGTCACTAAGGACGATTCCACCTAAGTTGTTGAGTGTTGTTATCTCTCAATAGAATAAAATAGCTGCAGACACTGTGTCACACAGTGAATGTCTACAAAGGTGCTTGTATACGGGGAAGGTCACTGCAGTCCCATCTATAGAGTGAAGCTGCCTCTGATGCTCCTTGAAGGTCCCTAGTCTGGGCACTATGTAGAAAAGGCCCTTGAGGTGGCCTTTCTGGATTTCTGAAGAAGGTGTAGTGAATTAAATGGAATGGAAAAATAGACTGTAAAGGGACACTTGGTGGGAAGCAGAGCTTGCAGTGTCAACACAGCAAGAATGATCAGTGGGGCGGGCCTTACCAGGAGACAAGGCATATGGCCCAGGCAGCCTTGTCAACATCTACCCTGACCAAAAACTTCCTCTTCAGCAGAACAAAAGCCAGAAATCCATCCATGTCCTTCCTGCTCTCTGGCCTTCTCAAGTCAGAAATTCCTCAGCCAACATGTGGAACGCAATCACCCATCTCAGATCCTCCCAGGAACATCTGCAAGAAAACAGCTCCAACCAAAAGATCCCTGCACAGGAGACCAGAATCAGCAGCAGCAACATTCTGATCCACCTAGCTGGAAGAACAAAGCTCAAGGTCAAGAGGTCAAAGAAAAGTCCAAACCTTTGCTTAAACAGATAAGGCAGAGGAGGATTTCAAGGGCCTTTTCCTACCCACCCAAAGGACAAATGGGGAACTCTAGGATATGTGAGAGAATAATGGAGGAAGAGGCAGGTATAGGCTGGAAAGTGGATCCAGAGGACACAGGCAAATTATTCCTGGGGAAAGGAATGTCAAGAATTGTAAGAGTCAAGTATGGAGGGGATGGGCAAGGCTTCAAATATAGGTCAAGTCTCATCACACACCAGAGGACACACACGGGGGAGAAGCCCTATGTTTGCAGAGAGTGTGGGCGAGGCTTTACAC